GCATGCAACCCACGAGCAAATTGTGCCAGGATTGCGACAGCGAAAAGCCGTAAGGAGGCGATGGCGACGGTGAACGCGCCCGTTAAAGCGACGTCCCGTTGAAATGCCTGTCGGCAACAAGGTGATGGAGACGGCGAGAAGGCGACATAGGCGAAGACGATGATAGCTGACGTTGCGGCTCTATGCCTTTCAAGCCCGACAACAGCCGCCCAGGTACCTCCCAGATCATTTTGCATGGGCCCATTACTGGGAAGTTCAGCTGCGCAAGTCCTCGTGCTGCATTGATTCCATTTGACCATCCAACCGAAACCGTTGGTCACTCTTAACGTTGACCACTCAATCATTTACAGAACTGCTGCATTCGCCATTTATTGATATTATATTATTGACCGTTATATGGTCGTTATGGCCGTTTATTGACCGTTATATGGTCGTACGACACCATTCGTTCGGTCATTGCTCGTAGTTGGCGCTGCATGCAGCCAACAAGTTATCAAGCCAGCAAGAATGGCGGCAACTGATGATGATGACGATGATGACGATGGCCGTTACTGCAGTTGATTGTTGCGGCTCTATGCCGCCGCCGCCGCCACCGCCGCCGCCGCCGCTAGCCAACTGGCCAGCAGCGGCGGCGCCCGGCTGGGTGCAGCTGGGTGCGGAGGAATTGCACCCAGCAGTGCACCTGAAGGAAAAGGGACAAGGCGGGGGAAGGGCGCGGGAGGCCAAAGTACGGTTAGCAGTACGACACAACTAACACACACATAATTAGGTGACAGATGCAAGCAAGGGTACCGCTGCTGGTCCCCACCACGCACAACCCATGCACCAAAACCCTAAACTCCTCCGCACCCACCTCAGCCGGGCCCATCACCAGCGACGCCCGCTCGGTGCCCCACTGGGGCGCACAGGTTGATGCCCCAGCCGCACCTGAAGAGGCGGTGCGCGATGAAGGGGGAAACGGCCAGAGGGGAATAGGTAAGGGGGCAGCATGCTCGAGGGGGAGGGGGGTAAAACACCAAATGCCATTATTTTGCCCCAAAGTCACAAGGCCTCGTTGCGACACGTGCCCTGCGGCCCTGCGGCCTTTCTCCGCGACCACTAGTTGAACCCAAATCACGAAGTACGCACCACACCCACACCCACGTCGCCCACCCACCCACCCACCCACCTGAGACGGGCGTTAAACAAGTACGGAAGCTGCCGCAAGCCCTGGCGATAAAGGGCCCGGGCCATGGCCACTGCTGCAGTTGCTTGCTGATCTGCCGGCGGCTGCTGCTGCTGCTGCTGCTGACTACATAATGAAAAAAAAGTAAAAATACGGTGACAGGAGGTGCAAAGGCCTGGGAAAACCCATAACCTCTACAACCCCGGCACCCTAATGCACGCCTTAGCTTAGGCTGAGGCGCATTACTATCCTATAAATAAGATATTTAAAATGGCGTAACTAAATAAGTAAATAAATAAAGCGAAAATATTTATAACGGTTCAGCTTTAATTTTCCTAATTATTCCCAAACAAATGAAAATCAATTGTGCACAACCGGGGCTGTGGGCACTGCAAACGAAAACACGACAGACCGTCACGCGAGGCAACAGACCGAGACACGCGCACAGTCGCATGCCCCCCAATCACATCATGCCCGGCCATGCCCCCAAATCGCATTGTGCCAGGCCATGCCCCCAAATCGCATCATGCCAGGCCATGCCCCCCAAATCGCATCATGCCAGGCCATGCCCCCCAATCACATCATGCCAGGCCATGCCCCCCAATCACATCATGCCAGGCCATGCCCCCCAATCACATCATGCCAGGCCATGCCCCCCAATCACATCATGCCAGGCCATGCCCCCCAATCACATCATGCCAGGCCATGCCCCCCAATCACATCATGCCAGGCCATGCCCCCCAATCACATCATGCCAGGCCATGCCCCCCAATCGCATCATGCCAGGCCATGCCCCCAAATCGCATCATGCCAGGCCATGCCCCCCAATCACATCATGCCAGGCCATGCCCCCCAATCACATCATGCCAGGCCATGCCCCCAAATCGCATCATGCCAGGCCATGCCCCCAAATCGCATTGTGCCAGGCCATGCCCCCCAATCGCATCATGCCAGGCCATGCCCCCCAATCACATCATGCCAGGCCATGCCCCCCAATCACATCATGCCAGGCCAAGCCCCCCAAATCGCATCATGCCAGGCCAAGCCCCCCAAGTCGCATTGTGCTAGGCAAACCCCCAAACCGCATTGTGCCAGGCCATGCCCCCAAATCGCATTGTGCCAGGCCATGCATGATGTGATTGCCCAATCACATCATGCCAGGCCATGCCCCCAAGTCGCATTGTGCTAGGCAAACCCCCAAACCGCACTGCGCCCGGCCACCCCAGGCCCCGACAGCATCCGTCCAGGTACCTCCCTGAACATTTTGCATGGACCCATTACTGGGAAGTTCAGTTACGCAAGTCCTCGTGCTGCGTGCAACCGAAACCGTTGGTCACTCTTAACGTTGACCACTCAATCATTTTACAGAACTGCTGCATTCGCCATTTATTGATATTATATTATTGACCGTTATATGGTCGGTATGGCCGTTTATTGTACGACACCATTCGTTCGGTCATTGCTCGTAGTTGGCGCTGCATGCAGCCAACAAGTTATCAAGCCAGCAAGAATGGCGGCAACTGATGATGATGACCATGATTATAATGATGCCGATGACGATGATGATCATGATGATCATGATGCCGATGGCCTTTACAGCAGTTGATTGGAATGGCGGCAACTGATGATGATGATGATGATGATGATGACGATGATGATGATGATGATGATGATGCGTCTATATGCCACCGCCGCCGCCGCCGCCGCCGCCAGCCAACTGGCCAGCAGCGGCGGCGCCCGGCTGGGTGCAGCTGGGTGCGGAGGAATTGCACCCAGCAGTGCACCTGAAGGAAAAGGGACAAGGCGGGGGAAGGGCGCGGGAGGCCAAAATATGGTTAGCAGTACGACACAACTAACACACACGTAATTAGGTGACAGTTGCAAGCAAGGGTACCGCTGCTGGTCCCCACCACGCACAACCCATGCACCAAAACCCCAAGCCCATCCGCACCCACCTCAGCCGGGCCCATCATCAGCAACGCCCGCTCGGTGCCCCACTGGGGCGCACAGGTTGATGCCCCAGCTGCACCTGAAGAGGAGGTGCGTGATAAAGGGGGAAACGGCCAGAGGGGATAGGTAAGGGGGCAGCATACACGGGGGGAAGGGGGGTAAAACACCAAATGTCATTATTTTGCCCCAAAGTCACAAGGCCTCGTTGCGACACGTGCGCTGCGGCCCTGCGGCCTTTTTCCACGACCACTAGTTGAACCCAAATCACGAAGTACGCACCACACCCACACCCACGTCGCCCACCCACCCACCCACCCACCCACCCACCTGAGACGGGCGTTATAAAAGTACGGCCGGCCCCTGCGTGCGGGTGCCGGCAGGCCGGACGACTCGTACGCCCCGAGTCCCGGCAGCCAGTCGACCCTGCATTCGGGTCCTGGCACCAGGGAAGCTGCCGCAAACCCTGGCGATAAAGGGCCCGGGCCATGGCCACTGCTGCAGCTGCTTGCTGATCTGCCGGCGGCTGCTGCTGCTGCTGCTGCTGCTGCTGACTACATAATGAAAAAAGTAAAAATACGGTGACAGGAGGTGCAAAGGCCTGGGAAAACCCATAACCTCTACAACCCCGGCACCCTAATGCACGCCTTAGCTTATTAGGCTGAGGCGCATTACTAATCTATAATAACATATTTAAAACAGAGTAAATAAATAAGTAAATAAATAAAGCGGAAATAGATATCATGGTTCAGCTTTATTTATTCATCTATTATTTAATAAGGTGTAGCCTCCCCTTAATTAGGTAGTCCCCAAACAAATGAAAATCAATTGTGCACAACCAGGGCTGTGGGCACCACAAACGAAAACACGACAGACTGTACACGCGCGGCAACAGCCGCGACACGCGCATACTCGCTGATGCTGGTTGTTGGCTGCTGGCTGATAGCTGTGTAGCGTAGCCCATTTAGGCAATATAACTGGCTGCAGCTGCTGGCTGGTTAGATAACGCTAGCTACCATCCACAAAACCCAGCGACGACAATAAAACCGGCCGGTCACCACCAACTGTCCACCAACTGTCCACCAACTGGATCAACATCTGCCAACCTCTTCCAACCAAACATATCTCCAACGGACAACTTCCACCATGACAACCATATTTCTCGACCCGATCCTCCATATCTTTGGACTCCCTTATTTTCCTGCTTTGAACTAGTCCTTCCGTTTGCAACGAATGTCGTGGTTTGAGCAAGGATGTCTCCCTTTTCATCTTTCTTTTGTGCATGGTAGGTTTGAATTGATATCTTCCTTTAT